AAGCCCATGTCATCGTCACAGTTTGAAACAGGATGAAACACAATCAAGTCCTACTCTTATATCCGATAGTCCTTGTAAATTGGATTGTTCCAACACCCTAGCTATTCTGCCAAGGTGACTTCTGTTATATCTCCATTATATCATGTTTCCTGAAATTGCCCTTGTTTAGGAGTAATCGTTTTTTTATGTGAAAATTGTCTTCAGGAATTTCTGTCAATTTCTCATTTAATAGTCGTAAATTTCTGTAAGAGGTCAGCTCCACCAACTAATTTGTATACTTGCACGATCTCTCCATCCAAACTTCTACTTTTTACACATCGTCATTTCATCATCAAGCTTATACAATTCTACATTTTTAAAGTTGACAAATTGACAAATGAACATTTACAAATCAATCTTAAAATTACCAATATACATTTCAACTTTTAAAACTTGACAAATGTATTTTCTTCAAGTAACAATTCTACAAATATACTTTCACAAATCAACAATTATATACCTTTTGTCGTTTTGCAAGGGAATTAATATTGACATCAAAACATCTCCAAAGAATTGTGCCATCCAGAGTGTTTGCGATCTAAAAATTTAATGCGTTTTCAAGAACAAGGGCAATAACTCATACTTAATTTTTTTCGATTTTTCATCCTTGGGTGATTAAAAGGAATTTTGCTCTCTAGAGTGTTTATTGTGGATGGAATTGTGATTGAATGATAAGAATGTCAGAATGTTTCTAAGCAACTACCAAGGAAAATTGAACTTCAACTGAAATTTCATGTGTGTCTGTCCCTGAGGAAGGGAGCCTTTGTGCTCTTGAAACATGAGAGTTATAGACTTTTAATGATTTCAAGAATTTTCAAAGGAATGAGAGCACCAAATACAGAACTTATGATTAGTGTTCCATGAATTTGCAGTAAAAAAGGTTTGTAAATGCATTTCTGAAAAAATAAATGCCACTGAAGACATAAATTTTTAACCTAATTGGCTGACAATTTACTATGCATATGTCATATTTGGTTGTTGTTTTTTCATTATTATTGCTGTAAATAATCTTACCATGCTAATGAAAGGAAACACTAAATTAAAGATAGCTCGCCAGGCAAGGTAATATACGCCCACAGGCAGCTTTGATTTTAAATGAAAATATTTGACAGTACAGTAACAATCACCAGTATGAAATATTCAACCTTCAGACATACACTTTTTTTTTAACTCTTTGAGGCGATACTGAATACTATTACCAAAATTTGTCAAGAATTGTGCCTTCTAGAGTGTTTACAGGCTAAAAATTGAAAGAGTTTTCAAGAACAAGGGAAATAACTCATACTAAATATTTTTCTATTTTTCTGATTTTCGATAAGGTTTATCCTTGGGTGATTACAAATACTCACATCAAGTTTCATCAAAATACGTCAAGAATTGTGCCTTCTACAGTGTTAACAAGCTAAAATTGAACGTCTTTTCAATAGCAAGGGCAATAACTCATACTAATTATTTTCGATTTTTCTGATTTTCAATAGGGTCTATCCTTGGGTGATAACAAACACTCATGCCAAGTTTCGTCAAAATCCATCAAGAATTGTCCCTTCTAAAGTGTTTACAAGCTAAAAATTGAACGCGTTTTCAAGAACAAGGGCAATAACTCATACTAGATATTTTTCAATTTTCTGATTTTCGATAGGGTTCATCCTTGGGTGATTAGGAACACGCATGTTCAGTTTCTTAAAAATCCACCAAGAATTGTGCCTTGTAG